GTGCAGTGCTGATCCTGGTCGGCGTGGGACTGGAGGTGTCCCCCTCCGCAGGTGAGCTTCCCCCGACCTGCACACGCAGGCTGTCACACGGTGCCCTCCCACGCCCCACCAGGAAACAGCCCCAGACACCCCGACAGGGAGCCCGGAGACCCCTCGGCCCTGACGGCCCCTCCCCTTCCTCCCGCAGGTGTCTCCAGCGCCATCTTCTTTGTGCCCGGCGTCCTGTTGCTGGTCCCTGGAGGTGCGTGCGAGTGGGGGGAGAGCAGGATAGGACGGGGAGGGGGCGGGGCGGCCCCGGGGCGGGGCTGAGGAGGGGGCGTGGCGGCCCGGGAGGGGCGTGGTCTCCGCGCTGACAGGCCCCGCCCTGCAGTCTACCACGTGATCTTCATCTACTGCGCCGTGAAGGGCCACCGGGGCTTCCACTTCTTCTACCTGCCGTACTTTGAGAAATGAGCCGCCGCGGGACAACCAGGCCGTGCCCCCGGCCTGCCCCCCAGCATCTGCGAGGAGCGGCCACGGGGGCGCCCCTCGGATCCTCAGCTCGTGGGGAACCCAGCCTCCCCTCGCCCGGAAGAGTCTCCCCTGCCCCACGGCCCGCGCGTCTGTTTTGTGCCTTAACTTATTCCCAGGCGTCGGGGCGACTGGGTCCGTGTGATTTTGTGCTAATAAAAGAGTAGTCGATTCTAGCCGAGATGTGGCTCCTACCGTCCCCAAAGCCCGCCCTTCTGCACCCCAAGACTGAGCGGCCGGCCGCCTGGCCCCGGAGCTGCCCGATGAACAAGGTCACACACGCCCTGTCTACCCAGAAGGACCGTGCTGGTGGCCCTGACCCGGCGCCTGAGGAGATGGCACAGGCCTGGGCTTGGAGGCTGGCCTTGATGTAGCCCAGGGTGCCAGGCAGCCGGGGGGCACAGCCCACTCCACCCTGATTTTCAGGTGGCTGGTGGGGCTGGGAGAAGCTGGAGGCCCAGGAAGAGAGGCAAGGAGCACAGGCCAGAGACGCTTCCATAAGCAAAGAATCCCAGGACCTCAGAATGTGAGGAAGGATCCCCACAAAATCTCAGGAATCGGGATCCGAGCAGTAATTCATCAGCTCTCAGAGGGCAGCAGCCTCTGCCCCCCACCCCCACCTCCCTACTGACGCCTGGCACCCCCCTGTCTCTGCCCACTGGGCAGAGGAGAAACTGCCTCGTCCATGGGCAGCCACGGGGCATGTGCCGTTGGGAACGTGATCCAGGCTCCTGGTCCCTAGTCAGGGCCCTTCCCAGGTCCACGGAGCAGGGCAGCAAGCCAAGGGGCTCGCGGAACAAGCATGACACAATCCCGCTCGGACTACCAAGAAGAGCCACTCACACTCTGATGGCTGTGGGTGTGTGTGTGTAGCAATAATCTAGAGCACAAATGGGTGTTAACTGGGGTGAGGAGGAAGGTGGTATTCTACAAGAAGAGAAATCAAGGTTGGGGGGAGGAGGCAGGACAAGCCATTGAAAGGTTTGATAGGTTTAAATTATGGAAGACAAAATTGATTCTCTGAAAGGTAAACCCCGGCCAAGCTCACAATAAAAAGTTAAAATAAAAGTCACCCCTCCTCCCACCCATCAGTGTGTTGTACCTTGCTACTCTGAGGCCGGAAGCTATGGCACCGGTATCTCAAACACCTAGGAAGAACGGCCTGGCGATCTATTCCAAATGCAGTCCACTGAAGCCACATGGAGCACACTGAATACCGTTCCATAACAAAGAACCCCCAAACCTGCCATCGAGTCCTTGCCAACTCACAGCAGCCCTGCAGGACCGGTAGCACTGCCCCTGTGAGACTGGAACTCTTCACAGGAGTAGAAAGCCCCAACTTTTTCCTGCAGAGCAGCTGGTAGTTCCAAACTGCTTACCTTGAGGTTAGCAGCCCAACGCATAACCACTATACCTCCAGAGCTCCCCTGCCCCAGAAAGAGCTGGACAATGAGCCTCATGGCTAGAAAACTGTCCCAGCTGCACAGCCACAGCCCCCAGGGGCTCAGCACACCTGAGACCATGGCGCCGGCTCCTCGGGACTAGGGACTGGATGATACCTTCCAGCATGGGTGGGGCTTCCATGGTAACAGAGGCCCTGGACCTGCCTTCCTCCCCACCCATTCCCATGGCAGCCAGGCCAGGCCCTTCAGGGTTCTGTGTCTCCCAGGAACTAGCATTCTGAGCCAGCTGTGGTGCCTGCCTCCAGAGGGCCTATGGGTGCTGCCTTAGTCGAGGCACGTTAGGGGCACCAGTTGAAGGGCCAGACCCTGGAAGATAGCATGTTCGGTAAAGCAGAGGGGCCGAAAGAGAGAGGAAGGCCCTCCCGAGATGGACAGACACTGCCTACAACACTGGGGCAAGCGCAGGAACGATAGTCAGGATGGCGCCGGGCCGGGCAGTGGTTCCTTGCGGTGGGCGTAGGGTCTCGATGGGCCAGAACAGACGCCACGACGGCACCTAGCACCACC